GAATGGAGACATGGCCATAAAATAGCTTATAGGTTTCGTTGGATAGGTCTCGTTTCCTAGTTTCTGGAACACGTTTCAGATCTGGAATCCGAGGTAAGGTCCGCTGGGAAATCGATTTCGAAGTTGAACAAAAAGCATTGTTTCAGAACCTAGAATATTTCTAAGTAATATTGGATCTATTCCAGTTTCATGTTGCAGTTTTTGGAGAATGATATCGGTCACATCAGAGAACGTATGGTCATGAGAATGGTTGGATCAGACAAAGGACATGTCAGAAAAGTCACGAAAGGTTTGGTTATCTTCAGTGGAGTTATTTTATGGCCATGGTGATGGTTACTTGCTGCACAAGAACAGCAGAAACTGAAACTGGCAGTTACAGAAACTGCTCTGGCGCAGGTGCTTTGAGGATCCATTTAGAGGTTCAAATCAAGTCTGATCGTGCTGTAATTTTGTGAAGTTGTTCACGGCAGTACTGACTTTGAACGGTTGGATCGACAAGCTAAGTGAACGGTTAGTTTGTATGTTATTCACGACGTTCGAAGATTAGTAAGTGCAGTTTTGTTTGGTGATGAAGTATATTGACTTGCATCTGTTTGTTTGGGTTGGCAAATGAGCTCGGAATGAGCTGGAAATTTGCAAGAACTCTATGGACTCATAAGATGAGATGTTGTCAAAAGAGGATTGAATTTAGAGATTGGAAAGCGAGCAATGGCAATTTCATAGACTTTGAAAGCTTGGTGGCTAGGGTGAGGGTTGAGATTTGTGGATTCATGTTATGCAATAGTATGGTTTAATGAGCATGTATGCTTGGTATAGGAATAGTGATTGAAGTATTGAATGAAATGATAAAATGAGATTATGTTGTGAAGTAGTATGGTAAAGAAATGATAGTAATGTTATGTTATAGTTGTATATGATGTGTGAGGTGTGTAATGTCGGACTGAGGGCGAGAACATGGCAATCCCGCTAAAGCCCGTAAACCGGCTGACGAGCCCAAGGTGGCGTACGACCTTTTGAGGTGACGACCAGCCTAAATGTGTCAGGTGTCAAATGTTATGAATATATTATCGAGTCATGTTGATATGTGTTATGTGATATGTGTGATGATGATGTTAGGATAGTTATGGTTGGTTGTTGTATGACTATTTATAGGCT